ATTGCCCCGGTGCAGCTTGCTGCTCTGCTCGTCCGTGACGCGCGCGCGTCTCTGTCTGTGTGTGTGCGTGTGTGCACATGCGATTAAGAGCGTTAATTATCGCCCCGCGTGTGTGTGCGCGCGCGCGCGGAGACGAGGCGCATGTGTCGTGCTCCTTGACACGTGCGACACGGCCGCTCCGCAGCCCTCCTCCTCCTGGCACGGCGCGCGCCCGCCGATGCGCAGGTAGGCAACCCATCCGGCAGGGCTGCCCCCGCGCCCACGCGGGCTGCAGACCGCCAGGCGCGCGTCGGTCAAAAGGCTCCCTCTACAAAAGAGTTTGTAGTCGTCGGCGCAAGTCGTAGCCAATCGTACCAGTTCTGTTTACCGTCGTGAACGCTGGACGTCAATACTCGAGTTCGGTCAGGTGCGGCGCCTATTTCGTTTCTTTCCTTCAGCAGCTTCTGCTAGATCCGTTAGCGGCTGGCGCCCACCCTGTCCAGCGTCCACAACAGGAAAGACGACTCCTCTACGAAAACTATTGCAGACGAGCCTAAAGGGTTCACTCGTGGCCCGGCATCAGCGGGAGCAGCAACAGCTGCTCCCGATATTAACAGCAGTCCTGCAGCAGGCTGCCGTCGTTGGAGGTGGCGGGGCTGGGTTGGATATCGGCGCCGTGCGGCCGGTGAGGGTGCGGGGAGGTGAGGGGAGCGACCCCCCGCTGATCGGGGTGCGTGCTGCGGGGAGCGGCGGGGAAGAGGAGCAGACGGACCCGGACCCGTTTGCATATCAAGCCGACTCTTGACTTGGAAATTGCAAGAAGCGGAATCTGCTCTGGGAGTGTTTTCAGCGGTGGTGGTGGTGGTGGTGAGGGCGGCGGGGGTGTTGGTTTCGGCGGGGGTGGTAGCGGTGAAGCTACCCATCGGTTACGCACCGAGCTACCTGATGAAAGCTCCGCCGCCGAGCACACACAGACTCTCACATCCACACACTCAAAGGCAAGTCCATAGCGTCCAAACACATTTTTCTCGCGATATTACATACTATCTTCCTCTCCTTAATCCAGAGTCAGCAAGGGATTTAGCAATGCCCTAACTTCCTCGCGTGTTCAAGTCGGAGACGTTGCTGCTGCTGCCGAATTTTTCATCCCCAGTCGGCAGTCACGTGCCTTTCCCTGGCGTGCACCACCACCACCTCCGAGGGGACCAACTCCTCCTCTGGCAGCAGAGCCCGGGATGCGCTCGTGCAGGTGGGGAAAGTCGAAGCTAATATAGAAACATATTGGTTGCGATTTGACACAGGGGAGACTGTTGGCCTGTCTGCCTCGGTGAGGCGCGGAGGGACAGTGGGACGGGGCGGTGAGGAGGGAAGGGGGAGGGGGGAGACAGGGAGGGAATCGCGTGCGGCACGGGGCACCTGGGGGCAGGGGGAGGGATTCTATCGGCAGCAAGGCCAAGGTGGCCCTGCCCAAGTTTACTCTCTATATATCGTTATTATTTCCCCGTGTGCCCCAGCCGTGTGGGGTCACGTGTGGTGTGAGGAGCCATGGACAGACAAATGTTGTCGTGCGGCGGGGCGGGGCGGGGCGCAGCTATTCGCGTCACGCGAGCCCCATTCCTTATCAATTCGGGGGACCAACCGCGCCGGGCGGATCGAGCGAATCCATCATCCTTTTTTTTCCGTCGTATTGAGAGCGAGAGAGAAAGACACACACACACACACACACACACACACACACACACGGCGGTGCCGCGCCGTCGTGGCCACGCGATTTCTCATCCTTCCATGTGACGGACAGATGTTGTTTCCGTCTCGCAGCAGCTGTCTCCTCGTCGCAATCCTTGGGCGGGCTCGACTGGGGGCTCTGGAGCTCCGGTCCTCCGGGCGGCGTCGCGTCATCGGTAATGCGGGCTGCCCATCCGCCGCCGTCGGCATCCTAATGTGGCCGTGGTGTCGGCACCGCGGCGGTCAGGGCCGGGGCCGCCAGGCCGGGGCCGCCCGGGCGTCTCCAGGGACACGGTCAGCGGGGACGTTGGGCGGGGCGGGGCGGGGCGGGGCGGGGGCTTAAGAAGGACCGATAGGGGTCGCGCCCTCGCCGCCGCCGTGGTGGACGTGCCCTGGGTCCCGGCGGGAGTCCGGCGCACGGCTACATGGCCAGTGATATGTCCGCAGGAAATTGAAAGGTAGAAGACGAGAGTGGGCGCGGGGTGCGCGGGGTGCGCGGGGCGGGGGTGCGCTCGGTATGCGAGGAATGCTCGGCTAAGGAAGGATCGCAGCCCGCCGCAGCTCGGTGCCGCCGGCGCCCCGTCGCTGGCGTTGAAGTAGTCGAGTGGGGCGGAAGGGAGAGGCACTGCTTCCACTCCGAACAGAGATTGACATCTCGGCGGCGCCCGGCTCGGCTCGACTCGCTGGATGAGGGATTCACATATGAATGTTATTCTTTCCACGTGGTTTCTGCCGCAAGGAGAGTGAGCGAGAGAGAGAACTATAGAACGGCATAGAAAAAGAGTGAGTGAGAGAGCGACCGAAAGAGAGAGAGGAATGCGTCGCTTATTTTATTCATATCGCACGAGGCGGCCCGGAGCCCTGCTGCTACTGCTGCTGAAGATTAGGCACAAGTGGAGTGAAAAATTCATGGTCGATATTTGAAAAATAATAAAAATGGAGGCAAGGCCTTCGTTTCCGTTTTGCTTCTGCTTCCCGGATACTGCTACACGCAGTGCTTACGCGGCGACTTTACGTCGCATGACTTTGTCAATAATATGCAAAGGAATTCATGGGCGTTACTGCTTTACCGGAAGTGGATGGCGGAAGCCATATGTGGAAAGTCAACAACCCCCAGTGACACACACACACACGCATGTGTACACACACTAAAATAAATATATTTACACACACGCCACAGACCACCGTGCGAAAAGAAAGGAGAAACCGTTGCAAATGTCGCAAAAGACTGGTTGTCTGCCCCGTAAACGCAATTGAAGTGGCGCTGTGGGGACGGGGTGCGACGGGACGAGGGAGGGGCTGGTGGACGTGGTGGACTGGGCAAGCCGGCCGGAACACATTCAATATAAACAAATGCCCCGGACGGACCCACACACACGAACACACCCACACCCACACACAAACACGCGTCGGACCCCAGCGGTCAGCTCGCCCCACGCCCCCGTCCGGCAGAAGCCACCCCTTGCCCTGCTCGACCGCCAGCCGCCAGCAGTAGGGGATGAAATAAGATAGAAATCTTGACCGTGCCGCCGTCGTCCGGGCAGTCCCCCTGAGAGGTGCGTCCACCGGCGGCGGCCTGCGAGGCCTTCGGAAGTCTGTCGAGCAGGGGCGGAGGTCCCCTCTGGAGGTCCCCTCTGGAGGTCCCCGAGCCCAGTTTAAACCCCCGGCTTACACCCCGTCCCTCGGGCCCCGGCCTCCGGCCGCCCTGCTGTCCGCCCGTACAGCCCACCACCACGCCCCGCGCAGCCCCCATGCGGCAGCACGAGCGGCAGCAGGAAGGGTGAGAATTTTATTTGCCTAAAGTTATAGACAGCCCCTGTGCGACTGACCGCACGACCGCAGGGAGCGAGCTGGCCCGGGCTCCTTACTCCTTTTTCCCCTCA